ATCTTATAAATGCGTTAGAAACACATGCATGAAAGAAAAAACATTAAAATACATATCTAAGGGTTCATTTTCCTGACATCACATTATCTGACCTTTTGTGTAGTTCTTTAAAATAACAGTTGAAGTATTGTATACATTATTCTGCCTTTTGCTTGTCTCATTTAAGAAATTATTACTAGCATTTTTCTAGGTTGAGCACAGCATCTCTGTAAATCTATCTTTACCTCATCGTTTTGTATACTTGTATGAATGTACTGTAATTTTTTCTTCATAACAGCTTAACATGTATGTATTCATGTCCCTTCTTATGAAAAAGAGTTAATCACAGTTATTTTTTTATTTAAATTGTTGAGAACTTTTTTCCTTACTTGGGACATGAAAACATGATTCAAGAATCTTTTGGAGTACCCTGTCTAAGCTGCTCTGTGATTCCAGCACAAAGCACCCAAATTCCCTTCAATTGTGCTCTTCATGATTTGTGATTATACTTCTTCCCTAAGTTTACACATTTTTATAATGTGTGTTTCTGGGGATCAAATCTAGGACATTGCACATACAAGACAAGTGCTCTACCACTGAGCTACATAGCCTACACTCAGTTCTTTATGGCTTTTTTAACAAAAAATATTCAGCTAGTTATAAGTACATGTAACTTTTCAGTTTCATAGAACCCTATGTAGCTTGTTGGGCTGGCAGTTTGTAATGAGTGTATCAATTGTAGATTTATCCTATTCTGATGTAAAAAGAGAAAAAAAACAAAAAATGGACTGGTAATGATTTTGCAGTTGTTGGAAAGTTAATGATTTCAAGCCTGAAGATATGTTATCCCAAATCCTACTTAAGTTAGCAAAGAGAAATAAGGTACCATTCTGAAAGGTTCAAAATCCTAGTGAATAGGGTAAATTTACTCATGTTAAAACCAGCCAGCCGGGCGCTGGTGGCTCACACTTGTAATCCTAGCTACTCAGGAGGCTGAGATCTGAAGATTGTGGTTCAAAGCCAGCCTTGGCAGGAAAGTCTATGAGACTCTTATCTCCAGTTAACCACCAGAAAACTGGAAGTGGCACTGTAGCTCAAGTGGTAGAGCACTCCCTTTTTGCTGAATAGCTCAGGGACAGCACCCAGGCTCAGAGTTCAAGACCCACTACCAACCAAAAACAACAACAACAACAACAAAGCCACCCAGCATGTCTTAAATGCCAATTCTGGGTATTCTAATCTGGTGAGAAACTTTTTTTAAAATATAGAATATTGGAGTCTTTATTACACATTTAACAGGCTGCAGGCAGCCAATTGTTACAAAGTCCTACAGCATATAAATACACATAACACAGCTAGGAAACAGGCTAAAGAGGAAAGAAAGAACAAAAACAATACCAAACAATCCAATTCAGCTCCAGTAGAGAGCTGAATTGGGAGGTCATGATGACTGGAGAAGAGCCAGGAGAAAGGACACAGGACATGATCACGGAGACACACATGGCATGGCGTCCCTATGAGAAACCTTTATAAATAACTTATTGGGAAACTGAGTCATTCTTAAGTGAAGTTTGATTAGTAAAAATATTTCAAGTAGAGGTCCCAGATGATAAAGGGAAGTCATGAGGACTACCTCATGGTAAAAAGTTGTAGTCAGCTTTTAATTGTGCAAGTCTCCTTCTCATATTCTTTTCCTCTTGCAGATTACAACAATTAAACACTTTGATGCTAGGAATTCAAATAAACACTGCTTCCTAAACTTCAAAAATATAGTTATTATTTCAAAGGCTTTGTTGTTTTTTAAATGAATTCTAAAATGATATATAAGATAGTTGCTTTAAAAAAAAAACAGCTTGTCCCTGAATTCCTCATTTTGTAACTAGCACTATAGTTTTTATGTAGTACTTTCTCTCTAGTATGACAGCATAAAGGTATTATATCTGGTTTATATATACTCATGAACTGATTTTCATTCACTGTCTAAAAAAAATTAAAGCAATTAACTGATTCTTTAGGCCCCTAGAAAATCTGAATTATTTATTTTATATAACATTTTTTATAGAATTGTTTTATGTTTCTAATATTTTACAGTCTTTTCATTGGAGTTAGTAGCCTGCTGGTTATAATAATAAGCAACTTAATAGTATAGGTGATTCTAAAACTTGGTACATTGGGTGCTAATAGCATTTTAATGTGACGAGACATGTTTTATTAGGCCATTAATGTACACCTTGGGTGAATATACAATCATAATTTTGCTTCCTAAGGCATACATTAATTAACAAATAAAACATGCCCTGGAGTGTTGTCTTATGACTGTAATATAGCTAGTATGTTGTGACTAATTTCTTTTATTTGTATCCTGCAGTGTGTTCAGGGCAAAGGGGACCACATGCTCGGACTTTGATGTAGTTATACAATACCATAGAACCTTATTCTTTATTTTTATGCTTTTTTTTAAAGGTTCTTTATAGCATTATAGCAGTATCTTTTAGAAATCACTGATGTATAATTTTAACAGATACTACTTTAATTTTCACTTTCTTACTTGGCCCTTTAGTTGAATAACTTCCCTTATTGTAGTTATATTATCCTTTTTATTGAACTACCTGAGTAATAAACACCACTTCTATAATATTCAATTATGGTTCCCAATGAACTAGATATAGTGCTTTGGATCTATTTAAATCTTTGAATGTTAAGGTAAATTATACTTAGGTGTCTAGATAACACCATAAATTAGCAGTTACAGGTATTTATACAACTTAACTACATAAGTTTGTAGTTTCAAAGTAGCTGTAAAATTTTTCTTTACTACAATTTATCATATTAGTATAGTGTTACTTCTTGTACACTATCAGATATCAAAGTTCTTTGTGGTTTTGGAATCTTAAGGAATTCACATGTTTATATCTTAGAGAGTAATGAACTGATCTAGGCAGTAATTCTGGTCATGTCTGCTGGATTCTCTACTAACTTGACTCATTTCTGTACATAGGATTGTGGATAATATGCCTGTGACCTGGTGTTATGATGTTGAAGATGGTCAGAGGTTTTGCAATCCTGGATTTCCCATTGGCTGTTACATTACAGATAAAGGTCATGCAAAAGATGCCTGTGTTATTAACGTAAGTTTGTAAGAAAGTCTGTACTGCTTTTTACAACAGATTTTTTAGGAAGAGAATTCAGTCTTTTCTTGAAGGTTGAATAATATTAATTTAAAAACAAATTATTTATGTTTACAAAATGAGTGCAAATCAGATATCATAAAGTTAGGTATTTAGGTCATAGGCTTCTACCAGATTAATAAAGTGTAAATTTAATTCTGGGATTAAAATAATACACATTTGGTTCAACATTTACTAAAATATTTCTTGTATCCTAAAGGGCTAGGACTTTGTTTTACCTCGGTTAAAAGTTAAATACCTAAATCTTATACATAAAAAATGTAAACCATGAAATATCACAAAGGCCCCATTATAAATTTATGAAATCTGTATTTCAGGTTAGTAGTGTACATTTTTTAAGTACTATCTCTTTTTTATCTTTTTTATTGTAATACCACCTCTCTTTAAAGCCATTATTGAACAGTTAAAACTGGATTCATATAACAGACATAAATATAGAAAGTAATTAAAGTTATCGGGGACAAGGACTGGGCATGGTGGCTCACTTACATAATCCTAGGTACTTAGGAGGCAGAGATCAAGAAGATTGTAGTCTGAGGCTAGTCCTGGGCAAAAGCGTGGAACACTATTTGAAAATAACTAAAACCAAAAGGGGATGATATAATGGTTCAGACGACAAAATATCCTGAATACATAAAAAATACCCCAGTAACTTAAACATGCAAGCAGGTGAATCAGTGTTATTATAATAGTAACATCCTGATTTACTGTGTATGTGGCGTGGGCATATGCGTGTTCCTGTCTGTAGTGGGGCTTGAATTCAGAGCCAGGGCACTGTCCTTTAGCTTTTGCACTCAAGGTTGGCATTCCTCTACTTTAGCCACAGCTTCATTTACCGCTTTTATTTTTTTTTATTTGGTAGTTAATTAGGGATAAGTCTCATGATCTGAGATCCTCAGATTTCAGCCTTTTAAGTTACTAGGATTACAGATATGAACCACCAGCATCTGGCCTGATTTATTCTCTTAATGAAGAGCTTGATCATGAAATTTTTTTATAGATTAATGCTTTTATGAGAATTAATCTGAGGGGACATTGAATAATTTAGGCTATTGGTGTAGTCCAAAGTTAACAAAGTTTTAGGGAGGGAATATTTTAAATGTTTATAGTTTAAGCTTGTTTATAATTTTTCACATAAATTAATTTTGTTAATTTTATTACAAATAAAAAGCTAGAAAATACCAGGTTTGTGTTTCAGTATTTATTCAATTTTATGTAAAAATTATAACTTTAAAAAGCACAGTATATCCTTTGCTAATTAAATTAAGAGTTGTGGTTAAGGGGCTGGGAAGGTGGCTCGAGTGCTTGCCTTGCTTGCCTGAGGCCCTGGATTCGATTCCTCAGCACCATATAAGCAAAAAGGGGGAAAAAAAGCCGGAAGTGGTGCTGTGGCTCAAGTGGTAGAGCGCTAGCCTTAAGCTGAAGAGCTGAGGGACAGTGCCCAGGCCCAGAGTTCAGGCCCCCACGACCAGACCAAAAAAAAAAATAAAAATTAAAAAAAAAAAGAGTTGTGGTTAAAACTTAGGCATAATAATGGGAAAGAGGAGCTGGGAAGGTGGCTCAGTGGTAGAGCGCTTGCCTTGCATGCATGAGGCCCTGGGTTCGATTTCTCAGCACCACATAAGCAAAAAGAAGAAAGCCGGAAGTGGCGCTGTTGCTCAAGTGGTAGAGCCCTAGCCTTGAGCTGAAGAGCTGAGGGACAGTGCCCAGACCCAGAGTTCAGGCCCCATGACCGGACCCAAAATAATAATAATAATAATGGGAAAGAATTAAAATTTTATACAGGTTTAAATTTTCTTAATTATAGCGCATTTTAAGGTTTTTTTGTTTGACTCGTGTAGTCAGTTTTCTACCTTTAACTAATTTCTGTTCTGCAGTCAGAATTCCATGAAAGAGATACCTTTTACATCTTCAACCATGTTGACATCAAAATATACTATCATGTAGTTGAAACTGGGTCCATGGGAGCAAGATTAGTAGCTGCTAAACTTGAACCAAAAAGGTAACTATACACATCAATAAAAATGCAAATAAATACATGAAATTAGGTACAAAGAGTAAGTATTTGAGTCCAATTAACTTATTCTTTAATCATTATCCTGATAGTTGAGGATTGATTGTAACTAAACCTCCCATTAGTATGATGTTACTGAGTATCTTAATTATTAGTACTTTGTCATAGTAAGTGGTTAGGCCACTTTGTGAATTAATCCTTTGGCTTGGAGAACATAAGCAGTTATCTCAGATTTCCCTATACAGTGGAAGGAGCACTGACTTAGTGATATATGACTCTCCTTGTGAGAGGTCCAAGGGAGACTCTGTGCCAGTCCCTGAAGAGCTATTGAAAGAGCATCTTAAAAGTCGTTAGGGGTATTAACATGTTTTGATATTTTGGTTGAGTGTTAAATATGATTGTTCTTTCATTGGTATAGCTGCTTTTTCACATTACTAGTGATAAAGATAAGCTAGGCTCCTTTTGTGGCATTTTCATTCTTAAGATTATTTAGCCAGGGACTGGGAAGGTGGCTCAATGGTAGCGTGCTTGCCTCTCATGCATGAGGCCCTGAGTTCAGTTCTTCAGCACCACAAAAACAGAAAAAGCAGAAGTGGCACTGTGGCTTAAGTGGTAGAGCTCATGCCTTGAGCTGAAGAGCTGAGGCCCAGAGTTCAAGATCCACGACCGATAAAAAGCAAAAAAAGACTATTTAGCCAGGTAGAGTGGTATGCACCCAGCATTTAGGAGGCAGGATGGCAGGGTCACTTGTGCCAGGAGTTCAAAACCAATTTGGGCAATGTAGTGCCAGGCCTTGTCTCAAAAAAGAGATGGTCAAGTTTACTCATAATTTTGAGTAGTGGTTTTTACATACATAATTAAGCCTACTGTTTATATGAAGTAAATATTTGTACTGTTAAATGTGACATGAATAATTTCATCTTTAATGACCAGCAGCATTGTGAAATATGTACAGAATTTCTAGTCTTTATTTTACCCTATTTTCTGAACTGTATTTTTAATGGCATCTTGCCAAAAATGTTTTTCCCCACAGCTTCAAACATACTCACATAGATAAACCAGACTGCTCTGGACCCCCCATGGACATAAGTAACAAAGCTTCTGGGGAGATCAAAATTGCCTACACTTACTCTATTAGTTTTGAGGTAAGTTTGTTTTTATCTTCAGTGTAACTCAGAAATTGATTTTAAATTAATACTACTTAAACTAATTAAAATACTAATGATTAAGCTCATTAAATGAGCTGATTTTTAGAATAATTCATCAGTCTGCTAGGCAGCATAATACATCTTGAAACAAAGCTTTAGTGTGAATAAGAAGGTACAGGAAATAAGAGAATTGAGCCTGATTTGTATTATGCCAAGAGATACATGTAAGACAGTAGGTAGAATACATCCTAGAAGCATTTGGAAAACAATATCATTTAAAAAATAAGGATTTAAATTTCCTTTCAGTAAATTTTCTTAGGAAATTGAAAAAAGTATTTTTTTTTCATTGGGGAGAGAAGTTCCTTAAAATAAAAGGTGGTAGCAAAAGACTTAGGCAGTATTTCACCTCTACTGGTAGAGCTCTCGCCTTGAGCTGAAGAGCACAAGGACAGCGCCCAAGCCCCATGACAAAAAAAAACAAAAAAAACCCCATCCACAATACCTACATGAAAATGTTTTAAAAGCTTTGCTTTAAATTATAGCTAATAAAGGTATATTATTCAATGTCAATTGTTAAATCTATACTGGTGATTTCTTTAGAAAATAACTGAATGGAACTTGTTTATTTTTTTCTTTTTGTGACAGTCCTGGGGCTTCAGCTCAGAGCTTGGGCACTGTCCTTGAGCTGTTTTGCTTAAGGCTAGCAACCTACCACTTAGAGCCACAGCACCACCTCCAGTTTTTGTTTTTTTTTTTAATTTACTACTTACTCTCATTCTGACTTACATTAGTTAGAGCAAATCTTAAGCTCCTTGAATTTCATAACCAACCCAAGTTATGCTATTAGAAATTGCAAGTGTTGAGTGAGGGGAAGGGCAAGCAGTTGCAAGGAAGTTTGCATTCCTAATGTGTGTTGTCAGCAGATTGTAAAAGATTCTTTTCCTTTCCCCTTCCAGGAAGATAAAAATATCAGATGGGCATCTAGATGGGACTATATTCTGGAGTCTATGCCTCATACTCACATTCAGTGGTTTAGGTAAGAGTATAGAGTTGATCTGATTTTGGCTTTTTACTTTGTTCCTTTCAGCATTTCATTTCCTCTCTGATCCTCTCTAGTATACTCAGAAGTCTGGATTTGGATTCAGATCTTGGCTTTTAAGTGTTATGAGTTATTTGTTAGGGGAGTCTATTCCTTAAGTTGGTTTCTGAATCTAAAAGTACCTACCTTATAAAAGGAATGTGGAAGGAGATAATGGGATAGAGGATCTTTGGACATCACTGGCTATCATATAAGAGTGTTCATTGTAGAGGCTGCTGTTATACAGTGATTATTCTCTCCAAAGTGTGACTTAACCCTTTGCATAATGCTATCACTTCCTCTTTCTACTTGACTGACTAATATTTTTGACACTCACTAATTTACTGAGTAAATTTGTTCTGCAAGAAGTTTCTTAATGTGTGTGTGTTCTGTAATGATTTAGGCTCATAGTTATTTAATAATATTAACGATGAACAAAAACAATTCTAGTTTTAAATTGTAAAACTGTAGGGCTTGGAGATAGTAATTCAATGACAGGGCACTGAATGTTTGAGCTCTAGAATGTTTGAGCTCTTGGGTCAATCACCAACACCACAAAATTAAAAAATGGAATATAGTAACATATGCCTCTAATCCCAGCTACTCAGGAGAATATGGTAGGAAGATTACAAGTTTAAAGGTAGTCTGGGCAACTTGGCAAGAAATATCTCAAACAAAAGAATTGTAATAAATATGTAATGATCTGTATTTGCTAGAAGGAAACATAGGAAAGCATAGTCATTGAATTTGTTGGATATTAGGTAGTTTATATTGTCATTTTGATTAATGCTATTTCAGTATTACTCAATAGACAATTTTTTGACACTGTTTTTTTTTTAAATTTTATTTTATTTTATTTGTGAACATACTGTACAGAGGGGTTACAATTGCATGGGCAGGATAATGCGTACATTTCTTACCAAGCATTGCAGCCTCCTCCTTTGTTTACCCTTCCCATCCCTTCCCAGCCTCCCCCCTCCCCCCATCCCAATCCTTCTCCTTCCCCCCTCCCCCCCACCCCCTTCCCCTGACATTGTTTTTAAGCTGTTCTATTGATTAAGTTACAAGTTAAACATGATATGCTTATTTCTAGCATAATGAATTCCCTGGTCATTGTTCTCTTCTTATCTGGAATGGTAGCTATGATTATGCTACGAACATTGCATAAAGATATTGCCAGATATAATCAGATGGATTCCACGGTGAGTAAGTGAAAACATTTTATCTGCTTAGTTTTGGGTCCCTGAAGACAATCTTTATTGTCACTTATGAGAAAGTTGAAAGTATAACTTTAAAATCTGCATTTTAAGAAAGTTGAAAATACAGCTTTAAAATCTGCTTTTAAAATACTCTGCTCAAAAGTTATCTTCACATTTTCAAATAAGAAAGTGATACTTGGGGCTGGGAAGGTGGCTCAGTGGTAGAGCACTTGCCTTGCATGCCTGAGGCCCTGGGTTCGATCCTCAGCACCACATAAGCAAAAAGAAAAAAGCCGGAAGTGGCACTGTGGCTCAAGTGGTAAAGCGCTAGCCTTGAGCTGAAGAGCTGAGGGACAGCACCCAGGCCCCAGAGTTCAGGCCCCACGACCGGACCCAAAAAAAAAAAAAGTGATACTTTGTCTGGTGCCAGTGGCTAATGCCTGTATTCCTAGCTACTCAGGAGGCTGACATCTGAGGATCATGGTTTGAAGCTAGTCCAAGCAGGAAACTCCGTGAGACTCTTACCTCCAATAAACTACTCAAAAAAAAATAAAAAATAAAAAAGCCCAAGAGGTAAAAAGAAGTGTCCAAGCCCAGAGTTCAAGCCTCAGACTGGGCCAAAAAAAAAACACAAGAAAATGATACTTAACCAGATGCTCATGGCTGTAATCCTAGCTACTCAGGAGGCTGAGATGAGGATAATGGTTCAAAGCTAGCCACTGGAGCAAGGAAAGTCCATGAGACTCTTATCTCCAATTAACTACCAGAAAACCAGAAGTGGTGCTATGGCTCAAGTGGTAGAGCGCTCCCCTTGAACTGAAGAGCTTAGGGACAGCGCTCAGGCATAGAGTTCAAGCTCCACACCCAACAACAATAACAAAAAAGCTAAGAGACAGTGCCCAGGCCCTGAGTGCAACCCCCATGACTGACAAAAAAAAAAAAAATTGACATTCTGTAGGGTGTTAGTCATCACAGCATTTCTAGATGAACTGTTCACATCCTTGCCCAGGTCAGAAGGCAAGTACAAAATGGGTTCTGGGTGTATAGCTCTGATACTGCCTCTTTCCCTTCCTGACATTCCATCAACAACATCAGCTTCTTCCCATACTACCATACACCAGTTTGTGAAGTCAAAATTGAATGGGATAACCAAGGCAGTTCTTAAATTTGTGTGTGTTTCAATTTTAAATATCGATTTTCATTGAATTTATGCCATATCAACTTTACATTTGGTTTATTCAAAGTAACCACCAGGCTCATTTATTCTCATTTTATGTTACATATAGTTACATATTTTATACTCAGCTTTTTAGACATCAGTAATCTGTATTGAATGTAAAAACTCACACTTTCTTTTGTGTGCGCATGTTTGTGTGTGTGTGTGTGAGTGCGCACATGCATGTGCTAGTCCTAGGGCTTGAACTCAGGTCCTAAGTGTTGTCCTTGAGCTGTTTTGATCAAGACTACCACTCTACTTGAGCCACAGTTCTGCTTACAACTTTTTTTTTTTTTGAGTAGTTTATTGAAGATAAGAATCTCACAGACTTTCTGGCTCAGTTTGGCTTTGAACCTCAATCCTCAAATCTCAGCCCCCATGAATAGCTAATATTATAGGCATATTCATATTTTCAATATTGTCTGTTCACAGCTTCTTTACCTCCTCCCAACTTCTGTCCTTTGAATTGGGAAAAAATTATATTAATATTTATAAACTTACAGCTTGTCTACTCTGCAGTATCTTTGGCTTTTGTTGATTATATATATTATTAAAATAACTTTATAATTTTTAAATACTCCACTCACAATCAGCTATTTTAAATAATCTGTTAGTGGGATTTTTTTTTTTTTTGCCATAGTAAATACAGGTGAACCTACTTTCTTCTGCTTCTGCTCCTATTGCTCTTCCTCCTGTCTTACCACAACAGTTAGAATACAGTGAACTCAAACATAAGTCTGATTTCACTCCTAAGCTCAGTCACACAGTGGTTTCCCCACTTCACTCTGAGTAAATGCAGAGGCCTTGTTACCTCTCAGAGCTCTGCTGCAAATGCTGACCATTGAGCTCAGGGACTTCACACTTGCAATTCTGTCTACTTGGAATGTTTGTTTCTCAGGTATTTACATGGCTAGCTCCTTTACTTCCCTAACTGTGCAGAAATATGATCCTCCCAGTGAGACCTTCCTGATCAACTTACATCCTCCATATACATCCATACTCCCTAATTTTTCTTTATTTTTTTGTATTGTTTCTTACATATTTTAATATGATCAGTACTTTACAGTTTATACACATTTTATCAGGAGAATGGAAATACTACATAATAATTTAGTATCTTTTCTGACTTCATATTGGTACCTTAAAATCAACCATAATGGAAATAATTGTATTACAAAAATCAGCAAAAGCTATGAATTATGTTTGGACAAAGTCATTTGTTTACCATGTACCAGGACATCTCAATTCACAACTCAGAAGTTCTAGAATTTTTAAACAGTACATACTAGCTGGATGCAGGTAGCATCTACCTGTAATTTTAGTTACTCAGGAGGCTAAGATCTGAAGGATCACAATTCAGAGTCAGCTAAGCAGAAAAGTTCACTAGATTCCATTTGTAGAGTAACCACTAAACAGAGGTATGGCTCAAGTGGTAGAACCCCAGCTTAGCAAACATGTAGCCCTGAGTTCAATGAGTCTTAATTTACTCCAATAATATTTTTTTCAATTTTAAAATTAAGACCGCTCACTAAAAATTTCAATTAGTATTACCAATATTGGTGAGTCAGAAACTGAGTAAAACTCGTGTGTGTGTGTGTGTGTGCGCGCGCGTGCGTGTGCACACGCACACGCGTGCCTTCCTGTCTTGGGACTTGAACTCAGGGTCTCACATTCTGTCTTAGCTTTTTCACTCAAGGTTCCTACCACTTGAGTCACAGCTCCACTTTGCCTTTTTGGCAGCTAATTAAAGTCTCATGGACTTTCCTTCCTGGGGCTGGTTTTGAACCAAAATCCTCAGATCCATACTCCCTAATTTTTCTATAAGCACTTACTAGCATCTGTGTGCATATAAGTTCTGGACTTGAACTCAGAGCCAGTGCACTATCCCTGAGCTTTATGCTGAAGGCTAGTGCTCTACCACTTAAGGTGCCTCTTAATATAAGTCTCACAGACTTCTCAGCCCAGGCCAACTTCAAATTGTAATTCTCAACCTCCTGAGTAGCTAAGATTACAAGCATGAGCCATTGGCACCAGGCTTCTTATCTCCTGAGAATGAAATACTCACAAGACAGGAATTTTTCTGTTATGTCACTGAAGTCAGTGCTCAATAAATTAGACAGACCTTGATAATGCATTTCTGAGCTCATACTTGGGGGGGAAGGAATGTCCAGGGATTTCCCCTACTTTTCCTATGTCCTAGAAGAGTGGCCAGAGCCAGAGTGGGAGATAGAATGCAAGTGCGAAGGAGTTAGGTTCCTCTGAGTGATGCTTATTATATTACTCCAACTAGTTGGAGAACTAACTTGTGGCAAAGTCTAACCTGGCAATATTTCTAGCTAATATTTCTACCCATGGGTAGAGAACCATATCTGGCAAAGTCTAGCCAGATTTCTTCTACTTGAGGCTTAGACTATGCAGCCCTACCTTAAGATGGTTTATCTATAGCAATTTTATTTTTAATAAGGTAGGAAAATGTATTCATATATCATACAGGTATTCTGTCTCTGCAAGAATAACAAGAACTTGTTCATGTAGGTTTGCCCCCAGAAAAGAGCTCTTGCTTCTCTGGTAAACCTTCTCCCCCCCCCCCCCCCCCCCCCCCCCCCCCCCCCCCCCCCCCCCCCGCCTGTTTTTTGTTACCTGGGCTAAAACTCAGAGCCTCATGCTCTGGCCAGGCTTTTTCACAAGCTCTCTACACTTTAGCCACGTTTCCACTTTGATGTGATAAAAAGCCAAGTTGGATAACAAAAATTTGACTTAGGAAGTTTATCCTTTTCCCTGCTAATGAATCACATATCTAGCTTGTAAAATGTCTAATAACTGTGTGTGTGTGTGTGTGTGTGTGTGTGTACTTTAATATGCAACTTTCCTTTAGAAACCAATCAAGAAAGCCATATTAAAGTTCCATGAGGTAAGCTCTGCTCTTTAGAATTGAAATAGATAACATTTATTAATGTTTTTATTTAAAAATTCTCTGACATGTTCATCAGTGAACAAATATTCTAGTAGTTATAATTCCATATGACATATTGAGCTGATATCATTTTCCTTGTAGGAAGATGCCCAGGAAGAATTTGGCTGGAAACTGGTTCATGGTGATATATTCCGTCCTCCAAGAAAAGGGATGCTGCTGTCAGTCTTTCTAGGATCTGGGACACAGATTTTAATTATGACTTTTGTGACCCTTTGTAAGTGTTAAGTGAAAATTTTAAAGTAAGAAATACTGATTCTAAGTAATGCTTTGAAAACCAGCTTTCCTGAGTTAAGTAACTAGGTTAGATTGTTCCTAAGAATTCTTTTTATACTAAGAATCTGTATTCTTTGTCTTAGGACCCTGACCAGAAACTCTGAACTGGGGGTTTGCCTTATTTATGTAGGGTCATAGTGATACACTACATTGAATTTTATTGAGATCTGTGTTAGCTGGAAAAAGTATATCTTTTTTTTCTGAGGTATTTTTTTATTTTTATGTTTTTGTTTTTTCTGCCAGTCCTGGGGCCTGAACTCTGGGCCTGAGTGCTATCCCTGACCTCCTTTTGCTCTCAAGGTAGCACTTGATCACTTGAACCACAGCATCACTTCTGGCTTTTTCTGCCATTATGGAGATAAGAGTCTTATGGACTTTCCTGCCCAAGCTGGCTTCAAACCCCAATCCTTAGATCACAGCTTTCTGAGTAGGTAGGATTGCAGGTGAAGCCACTGGGGCCCGCCTATTTTCTTTATTTTAAGAATGAGACAGATCTGTCTTTTACACTGAAGGAAACAGTAATAACATGTGAAACCTTATCTTTCAGTTTTTGCTTGTCTGGGATTTTTGTCTCCTGCCAACCGAGGAGCTCTGATGACATGTGCTGTGGTCTTGTGGGTACTGCTGGGCACACCTGCAGGCTATGTTGCTGCCAGATTCTATAAATGTAAGTAAATGTCCTTGTGACTATGTCAGATAGATGATGCTTTGAAGCACATATTCCAAGGATGAAAGATATGGTTGGGACCTTCTTTGTTATGTGAATAACTGTCCTTAGATTTATCTGTGGAAAATGCTTTCACAATGAAATAGGTAATTAGCTGCTGCTTGTCCAGTATCCCTTCCCTCCTTTCACCGTTATGCTTTGGTTTAATAGATTAAGTCTGCTAAACAGCTGAGATTTGGTATGTGCATAGAAGCATGTGGAAACTATGCAAATGAGAATTGCCAGTTTCTTAACTGAAACAAGTAATATATCTGCGTTTACCCACTCTCATGTAAGAGATCATATCATATCAATTAATATTTATAAGTAAACAAAGATCTGACTACTTTGAGAGCCCTAAAGTAAGTTATGACTGTGTGTGTGTGTGTGTGTGTGTGTGTGTGGTGTGTGTGTGTGGTGTGTGTGTGTGGTGTGTGTGTGTGTGTGTGTGTGTGTGTGTATGTGTGTGTTCCTGAGGCTAGAACTTAGGTCTGGCTGCTGTCCCCGAGCTTCTTTTGTTCAAGGCTAGTAGTCTACCACTTGAGCCACAGCTTCATTTCTGGCTTTTCTTCATAGTTTATTGGAAATGAGCATCTCATGGACTTTTAGACTGACTTCAACTAGGTCTCAGCTTCTTGAGTAGCTAGGATTACAGGTGTGAGCCACCAGTACCCAGCTTGGTTTTAATTTTTATGAATTTTTCCTTTACTAAAAGATAAAGGACTGGGTTATTAACATGAAATACAGACCCTTTGCCTCTACCATACCAGTCTTATTTTATATCATACTCTTCCCTTTCTCAGTATTTCACCCACATTGGCCTTCCTCAGCCAGCCTGTGCACCTTCAGACTTGTCTCTCCATCTATACTTGCCCATGCAAGACTCCTCTCAATGCCTTTCCATCTTTGCAGTTTAGGTGCATGTTAATTAGTCAGAATGTTACTGAGAGGTGCTGCCTTGGCACTGTCAGGAAAAATAAAAAAACTTGAGTTCATAGAATTGGGGGTGCTAGGTGGGGAGTAGATCTTGATGCATTTCCCTAGCTGGTATTGAATTCTTGGGAGTAAGCAGTTCTCTTGCCTCTGAGCCTACAGGTGTATATCACCTACCAAATTTATAAAATTTTTTCCTTACATTTCCCAGACATCATGAAATTATTAAACTCTCAATAATTTCACAATAGTCTGTAGCACTTAATTCATATAAAATATTATTTATGTGTGTATAGGCAAATGGTAAACTTACTTATTGATGGTGATAAATGTGTAGATACAACAATGAAATTCTCCACTGTATAACTAATATAAGCCAATAGGAAAAAAGTTTAAAAACTAAAACCATGTACCAGTAGCTTATGCCTATAATTCTAGCTACTCAAGAGGCTGAGATCTGAGGATTGTAGTTCAAAGCCGGCCTGGGCAGGAAAGTCCATGAGACTTGTACCTTTCATTAACTCTCAAAAAGTCAGCACTGGAGCTGTGGCTCAAGTGGTAAAGCGCTAGCCTTGAGCAAATCAAAAAAGTTCAGAGCAATGCCTAGGCCTTGAGTTAAGCCCAGGATTGTAAACCTCTTCCTCCCACCCCCTACAATTAAAAGGTTGCAATCCCTTTTCTCTTGTTAGTCTCTTAACCTCTACTAGATGTTACAATGCAGAAAAATCCTGAAGAGTCAGACCTGTGGAAATTCAAATGTGTAACATGTCAAAGATAAACAAGAGTCCTCAGTGTGTCCTTTTTATACCTGAACCCATTGATAGCTACTATTTAAGATTAATGCAAAAATAAGTAAGAACTGGTCTTGATGACTTACTCTTTCATATTGGAATATTTTATGCTGAAGCAAAAATCTGTAGAGTAGCATTTAGGCAAGCTAGTCCTGTGTTTTGTTCTCTGATTTGAACCATTTGGTAAGAGACATCATTCCAAAGTTGCAGACATCATTTTGAGAATGAGCAGCCAGTGCTGCTTGACAGTTTGTTAATACTGGACTTGGGAATATGAGTATTTGATTTGCCTTTAAAGAAAAATTTGGCTGGGTGCCAGTTGCTCACTCTTGTAATCCTAGCTACTCAGGAGGCTGAAATCTGAGGATCACAGTTCAAAGCTAGCCCAGGCAGGAAAATCCGTGAGACTCTTCTTTCCAATTAACCACTAGAAAACTGGAGTGGCACTAGCCTTGAGCTGAAGAGCTGAGGGACAGCGCCCAGCCAGAGTTGAAGCTCCGTGACCAACAGAAAAAAGAAAAATTTGAATTTTTACATTTGTTTTCTTCTGTAGCTTTTGGAGGTGAAAAGTGGAAAACAAACGTTTTGTTGACATCATTTCTTTGTCCTGGGTAAGTGAATTTTTTCAATTAATTCTTTAGGGTTTTTTTCCTCCCTTTGTTGGTTTCTTAATGATGGTGAAGGTTGTATTTGGCCTTACACTTGGTAGGCAAGTACTCCACAACTTGAGCCATTCTTCTACCTTAAATTTTTAAATAATGCTCAACACAACCATATTTTATTCCTTATTCTTTAGTGGCTTAAGTCTTTATCTTTCTAAATGACTTACCTTAAAAAATAGATTTAAGCAGGGCGCCAGTGGCTCACCCCTATAATCCTAGCTACTCAAGAGGCTGAGATCTGAGGATCATGGTTCAAAGCCAGCCAGTCTGGGTAAGGAAAGTCCGTGAGTCCCTTACCTCCAATTAACCACCAAAAGACGGGAAGTGGCACTGTGGCTCAAGTGGTACAAGTGGGTACCTTGAGCTGAAGAGCTCAGGGACAAACCCTAAGCCCAGAGTTCAAGCCCTACAACCAGAAGAGAAAAAAAAAAAAAGGATTTAAGTTTTGAAAAAGGGTAAAAAGTAAAAATTTAAAAATACTTACAAATGTCTTAATACATGCCTTATATGGGAAAATTACCTTTAGACATGAGAAATGTTTTTGTTTTCTCATATATATATATATTTTTTTTTAACTGGTCCTGGGACTTGAACTCGGGGCTCGGGCACTGTCCCTTAGCTTCTTTTGCTCATGGCTAGCTAGTGCTCTACCACTTGAGCCACACCTCCGTTTCCAGCTTTTTGGATAGTTAATTGGAGATAAAGAGTCTCAACCTGCCTAGGCTGGTTTCAAACCATGATCCTCATATGTGAGCCACCTGACTAGCTAGTATTATACAGGTACCTGGCTGTTTTTGTTTATTATAAGTCTTTCTAATGTTCTGTCAAAGGAGAGAAGGCTAGCCTTCCCCTTGAGAAGTCTTTTTTTCTGTTCCCTATTCTGACTGGTCAGTCTCACTAGTGCTATGTAAGATTACATTAAAAGCTTTTAACCTAAACATAGGAAGTCTCCCTAAAGATGTTAAGCCAAAAGTATGTTTTTGGATTTTTATCAGAAGTATTGTTTCTTATTAGCAATTTTATTAGAGTAAGTAACATGCCAATAATCACTATAAACCAAGATCCTAACTTTGGAAAACCACACTGATCTCATTTCTAATATGCTTCCTAACCTCCAAATTTCTAATGGGCAAAAGCTGGCCATTCTTAAGGAATAGCAATGAAGAATGCCAAAGGTGATACATTGAAAGCAGGACTGTTTCACTTGCAGGTCGGGGGGGAAAAGCATGATAGTGATTACAACAGGCATTTTTTTTTACAGGTTTGAATAAATGTTCTTCAGTTGCTATTGCCATGGAAGATGCACAATTCTCAACCATTCATTTTCTATTCAAATTAGTGTGTCTTTCTCAAGCCATAATCTTTGTCATCATTCCCTCTGCTGTCAACTCAAGTTACCCTGCTTACCAAGACCATTGGTTTCTTTTAAACATCTCCAGCCTTTGACTGCTCCTGTTGCTTCTCTTTTCCTTTGTTCTGTTCGTACACATCTTCCTTATTTATACAATTTGCTTAGTCCTCTCATCTTCTAAGAGAGCTTTCTAAGCATTTTCCTTGCTTCTAAATATTTTTCTGTTCCCAACATAGTACCTTAAGAAATAGTTTATATTCTCTATTCTCATTTGCTCAGCACACATTTGCAATATAAATCCATGTAATCCTCATTTTTTTCCTCATCATTTTACCGAAATTTCTCTAAACTAGCAGTAATGTTCCCATTTTCAAACCTGGAAACCATTGTCTGCCCTTTACCCTTTTCTTCTCCATAGGGTCTAATGTCGACAAACTTACTTGAAACTTTTTATGCCTTCATAGAATCTATTCTATGCTGGTTCTCCTGTTGTATCTCTGATTAACCCTTCTCTGATTTGTATTCTTTATCATGCCTTTAAAGGAGAGGTTAATAAGCCGGGCACCAGTATCTCACACAGGTCATAGTGGAGCTGTGACACAAGTAGTAGAACATTACCCTTGAGCACAAAAAAAGTAGAAGTTTATAAACAAGTAGTGAATTAAGTCAAGAGTGGTTATACGTGCTTGAAAGCTCAATCTGTAAGAATCCATTTCAGGAGCAGATTCCTATTAACTCACTTTCATGGCTTCAGTTATTTGAGTTCTACTCATAGCAAGACAGGAAAGAAGAAATGCCTTCCAAAAAGTTAGGGATCATGTTATTGTTTATAGGTGTTGTGAATAGTATACAAGTATATGCAGATTTATTATTATAAGACCTGTAACTTGTAGAATTAATTTTTTTAAGTTTAATAAAAGGGCTAGATATTAGCTAATATTCCAGCATCCTAAATATTACCAATAACCAATTAAATGTTTTTAAAGTAATGGGAATTATGTAGAAGTCTTTGTTCACAGGATTGTTAGCAACAGAAAACTGATACAGTAATTCAGATGAACTTTAGAAATTTGCACTGTAGCCGGGCGCTGGTGGCTCACACCTATAATCCTAGCTACTCAGGAGGCTGAGATCTGAGGATCGAGGTTCAAAGCCAGCCCGGGCAGGAAAGCCCATGAGACTCTTATCTCCAATAAACCACTAGAAAACTGGAAGTGGCATTGTGACTTAAGTGGTAGAGTGCTCGCCTCGCCTTGAGCTGAAGAGCGCAGGGACAGCGCCCAAGCCCAGAGTTCAAGCCTCACGACCGACCAAAAAAAAAAAAAAAGAAAGAAATTTGCACTGTACACAAATTACTTGATGGAGTAATGATTGTCAAAGGATTTGAGACACTCACTAGCTGAATGTATAGATGAACCTCATCTACATGGACTCATGCTAAGCCTGAGGAATTGTTGGATTGACGATAGTGGACAACTCATTATATGAAAAATATTCCTGTTCTAATGTTACACATAACAAAATTATTTCTGGTAGATTCAAACCTAAATGTAATAGAGTATGTGCCAAGCATTTGTGAAACTGGGTTCCATCCCAGGACCAAAAAACAAAAACAAAAAATATGTGGAAGTGATTATTGTTTAATTGCAGCTAAGTTTTTGGTTGTTTTTTTTTTGTTTTTTGGGGTTTTTTTGGTCAGTTGTGGAGCTTGAATTCTGGGCCTTGGTGCTGTCTCTGAGCTCTTCAGCTCAAAGCTAGTGCTTTATCACTTGAGCCACAGCACCACTTT